TTTGTTGGGGAAGCACGGAACAAAACACAACGGAAGCGTATAAAATCTTTTCCCCAAATTAATGAGATGAATAACAAGCACAATAAACTCTGAAAAAATCAGCAGCACACACACAAATAAATGGCAGCGATAATAAAGTAGATGACACACGATTTACGTGGAAACCCCAAATCGGGGAGAAAACCACGGCCGCTCAACAACGGCTCCCAAACTTCCACTAATCACCAAGAATCAAGTGGGTACAACAAGTTCTCCTCTCTAGTAAACACTAGAGGCATACACAATCATCAAGGAGCAACCTTGGAACAACAACAATCAACAATTCACCATAAAATGGAGTAAAAACTCCCAAAAACGCAGGTCTGAAAACGCAGCTAGAAAACAACCTTCCGGGCATCAAAATCAGAATCTGACCGTTGGATTTGAAGAGGAGTATGTGAGGAACAACATACTAAAATTTGAGCACGATCCGACTTCGTTTGGCCTTCGATCCGGAGGTGAAAAGTTGCTGCTGTAGAGAGTGGCGGAAATCTTCTTTTTCTTCCTTTTCCCTGCGTTTTGCTACTGCCACACAGTTGCTTCTATCTTCATACTCCCTTATCTCTTTTCTTTTTTTTTCTTTAGTTAGTAGCCACACACAACATAAGAGAATGGGCCACTAAAAAAACAATTGGACTAAAACTTTACACACAAAAATAAGCCCAAATAAAAGTGTTGTCCAATTAAAAATTGGACACTTCCTCCATGTAGGAGGGAAATTTCCCAACACACCTGTCACCCGATCTATCACCCGACATATTTATATTCACTTTAAAAAAATTAAAATGAAAAATATTACATTTGTTAGGTAAATAAGCTTGTTCTAGTTTTGAATATTTCATTTTATAAAAACCTAGTTTCTAATGTAGAAGATTATTTCTTTGTAGAACTTTATCGTATACATTATTAATCTCTTATTTTTCTAAAACAATTTTGGTGTTACATGCTTCAAAAGTTTTTCTTTTCACGAGTTTAATGATTAAAAAGGTATTAACTAGCTATGTTACTTGTTTTCATCTGTTTTACCCGGCATAATGGATGAATCAGGTGATGGATGATGTATGTGACGAATTATCGATAAATTGAATGAGAAATATGAAGTCGATGGATATACAGACGAGATTAAGCTCCACCCACCAAAATCCAACCCGTTCGACTTCCCTAAAAAGGAAGAAGAGTACATTTTGTTTTGTTTTTCTATTGAATTGTAAGCAACACGATATGTTAAAATGATATCTTGTAAGAAATATTTTAATTTTTTGATATCATGAATTCTATGTTTTTACATAAAACCAAATTTTTCCCCATGAGTGGTAGGAAGTCCACTGTCCAAGATTTATAGGAACGTCTACCAAATTTTGAGCCCTAGCTGGAAACAGATACATCAATTACATTATAAAAAATATCTTGTTGTACGGAATACTTTGTTATATTTTCATTACTCGGTAGCACTTTGTATATATGAACTTTCTAGGGCTTCAAAAATGATAAAAACAATGTTGAAATTAAATAAATGTATAATACTCTCTGTTTGAAAAGAGAGAGTTCCAACTTCATTTTTACACATCCACAAAACACTTCTACTATACTCTTATCCAAAATGTCTAAATACATCAATTTTCTCCTTTTTACGAGTAAGAGTTATTTTCAAAGTATTTTAGATATTTTAGGTAGAATACAAATATTTTCTAAGATGCACAAAAAATGGATGTAAAGCTATTTTTTTAAGTCTCATACGGAGGGAATAATAAATTAGTGCAAGTAATTACTTTTTCTTTGCAAGTTATATCATAGAGCCAGCTATACCTATCTCCGTGTACAATCGGATGTGGATCAACAAATGAGCGGCGACAACAAGGTGGTATAGATCGAGATCAGATGGAAAAGAGAGGAACAGACCGAAGAAGTTGTTGGCCTCGGTCGAAACACTAGGATCGGAAAAACTGGTATAGCATTGGCCACCATGGATTCTTACAATTGAAGCTCGGATTCTCATAGCTAAGGACAATTTCAACAACAACACGGAGCATAGCGGTGGCTTGCATGGGCATTGAATGTTTTCTAAATGAACATTATTTTACTCGAAAATTAAAATTTCATATAATTATAGTAAACATAATGGTGTTTTTAAGTTTATATATGTACATTTTCAAATCTGTGAAAATTGAATGTTCTATTTTGCGAAAATGAACAATTTGCAAATATAAGACTAAAATAAAAAATATATATATAAAATAAAAATTCAGTTGCTTCAAAATCAGTATTAACAACTCGAGCATAATAAGTGTACTGTATAAGAACTCCTTTGAAAAATGTTTGGGGAACCCCACTTTTGGATACACCAATGTACACCAAGGAAAAAATAAGCTAATGTCTACGCGCACGCACTGAATCCCAAATGGGATTTCCTAGCACCCCCAACCATAGTTTTAAAAATCGGACTGGGCGATTCAGACCAGGAATCGGTGAACCGGTCCTGTCCAGTCAATCATACCGTCTTCAGTATTGAACAAATGGAAACTGGTAAAATTGGAGAAAATCGGCCATTTTCACCGCTAAAACCATTTTTTGGTGAATTTTTTTACTTTCAAACGGAGGGAATAGTAAATTAATACAAAGTTATTACTTCTTCTTTGCAAGTTATATGGTAAAGCCAACTATACCTATCTCCCTGTACAATCGGATGTGGATCAACAAACGAGCGGCGATAACAAGGTTGTACAGATCGAGATCAGATGGAAATGAGAGGAAAAGAGGAGAGATAC